CGTCGTCTTGACCTGCGCCTCACTTTCCGCAGCACTGCGTGCGGCTCCCCGCGGGCCCTCTGGCCTGGCCGCGGCCCCTTGGCACGGTGGGCTCAGGGCCTCCCCGCAGCCCAGCACCTCCTCGCCCAGCCTCCCCGAGGGGCCCTCGGGGTTGGGCCGAGCCGCCCCTGCGCCCCGAGCCGTCGTCTTGACCTGCGCCTCACTTTCCGCAGCACTTTCCCGCCACGGAGCTCAGGGTGCTTCCCCAACATGGCTGCTAAAGTGAACGGAAACCCCCACAGCGCCCCCGTGAGGTAGGTGCGGCCTCGGCTCAGCTTGGGTCTCAGCCAGGGGCCAGGGGCCGGACCGGGGCGGGGGGGCCGAGACGGGCCGGAACCAGCGCCTCTTCTGTCGTCCACAGCGGGCCTCCGGCCTTCCTGGCCCAGGGCTGGGGCAGCACCTACCAGGCGTGGCAGCAGCCCCCGCAGCAGGTCCCAGGTGAGTGGGCCTGGCTCCGGTCGTCCTGAGCGCCCTGAGCCACCTCGTGGTGGCAGGGGCTGTGCAGGAAGCGGGCTCCCGGCCGCCCTCCTCAGCCTTTCCTGTCCATCAGCTCTGTCCCTCTCAGACCTGCGACTTCTGTCGTCGTCGTCCCCCAGGGTGGGTCAGGAAACCCCTTGGTGGTTGCCTGGACCCCAGGGCTGCCTTCACCGAGGAGAGTGCCGGCCCCACGCAATGCCTGGGCAGGGCCTGGCTTTCAGGGTGCCCTCCTGGCTCCTCCAGTGGCCGCGTCCCCCTCCTCTCCAGCACCACCTCAGACAGCTTCGTCCTGGTGGGTGGGCGTTGCAGGAAAGCCAGCCTGAAACCATTGGCTCTGCCCCGCGGCCTCTCCGGAGATCGGGCGCTGGAGTCTGGCCCCACCCACGCTGGCTTTGGGAGTCATTGTTGGGGTTCCTTCCCCAAAGGGCCCGTGTTGCACGGCTTTCCTAAGACCACACCACAGGGTCGGCCAGGCCCCCCGGCGTGAGGCCACTGGTGCACTGGAGCGTCTCAGGCCGGCTCCTGTGCCTGCGGCTCCGTCCTCAGCCGCAGCCTGACCACCTCGTCCTCTGGGCCTGCGGTCTGTCAGCTGCTCAGAGAGGGTTCGGGTGGAGTGTGGAAGCCCCCGCACGCTCTGCAGGTGCCAGGCTGCGTCTTCCCAGTGTTTCCTGGTGACGTGGGGGAGCCCAGTGTGTTCCCTAGAGCGTCTCCGTAGACACGCCAGTGGCCACGCGCTACCACCGCTCCCGTCTGTCCTGCTGACCGCGGAGCCCGGTCCCGCCTGGCTTCCTCCTGCCCCCAGCTGAGGGCACCCAGGATGCGTTGCAGGCACAGGGCCCCCCCAGCCCCCGTTCCCCGGGGCCTGGAGGAGCCTGGGCTTAGGCTTGTGTGTGCACTGGCGCTTGGGAAGACACAGCCTTCTCCCCAGGGCGTCGCCCAGGCCTGTTTGGCCACACCCCCAGTGGGCAGGAGGGCGGCTGAGGCAGGCGGCGTGGAGAAGCAAGCTCCTCCTCTTTCTTTCCTGTTTCCTGACCTGGTTCTGGTTCAGTCTTGGTCTGGTGGTGTATCCGGGGCTCGGGAACTGACACTCGGTTTGGGGCAGGGGTCTTGTTCGGTAGGCAGCTTGCCCACATCCCTCACTCCTGTTCCAAGCCCCTTCCCACAGAGTGTGGGAGCAGGCCCCCTCAGGCCTCTCCCCCACCCCACCTGGAGTGTCCTAACTGCCCTCCTGCCCAGCCCCCCTCAGTCTTCCATGAGACACTAGCTCGGCCTTCCTGTAGCTACAGGCTGTCATGCTGCTAGACCCTCACAGGGCAGGCGCAGCTGGAGGGACTGGCAGGTGGGCCTGGAGCCAGCCTGACCTGGATACGGCAGAGTCCTTGCTGGCAGTCTGGCCAGCTCTGTCCCTGGTCTGGTCTGCTCCCCCGCCCTGTCGTACCCAAGCAGTGTAGTAAATGGTCCCACTTCCGCCCCTCCCCCAAAAGGCAGGAGACGGGCAGGAGGCGGCACCTGCTGGGTGAGCCTGGTGTGTCCCGAGCCCATCTCTCCTGGGAGTAGCATCTCTGGACCTTGCTTGTCCGGAGCAGAAGCCTTCATTGGACAGACAGGCCAGGAGCAAGGTGCGGCCACGAGCCTCGGACAGCAGTCTCCGGGCACCCCCGGAGTCCCACCCTCGGGAGCCCGCCTGGCCTTTCCAGGACTGGGCCGCACCCTCCGGGTAGGCCTGGTGAGGGCCCCACTGGGGATCGTTCACCGGCCTGCGACGGACCGGCCTGACACCTTTTCCCAGGCCAGGCCTGGGGCCGACCGCGGGGCGGTGCAGCGGGGCAGGAGACCGAGAGCAGAGGGCAGGGCCTGAGTCGCTGGCGGGCTGAGGCTGAGGCGGCCCCGCAGGCCTGACTGCTTTTGTGTTCTTCGCACAGGCCAGCAGAGCCAGCCGCCGAGCAGCCAGCCTGACTACAGCAAGGCCTGGGAAGACTATTACAAAAAGCAGAGTGAGTGCCGGGCCCTCAGAAGCAGGCCTGACACAGCCCCGCCGCCCCAGGGCTCCCGCCCCCTGGGCTGCCTCACCTCTGCTCCTGAGCTCTTTTCTGCCAGGGCCGGGACCTCGGTGCCCACCTCCGTCTCCCTCGCCCTCTGCCATCAGCAGACACAGTGGTTTTGCCGCCCCTTCTCCCCGCCCCAGACGGGAGGGCCTAGAGCTGAGCCTCACACCTTGCAGCGTGTCCTGGCCCTCGCTGTCCTGTCGCCTCCTCTCGGCCTGTCAGGGCAGAGGATGGCCAAGCAGGCAGGGAAGCCAGGGAGGGGCGTGGCGCTGGCCGGGCCTGAAGGTGCTCTTGGGCACCGGCCTCCTCAACTGCCAGAAACCAAAGCGGCCTTTACGAAGGGAGTCAGACCTGGCCACGCGAACTGCCCCGAGCAGCCCTTTCAAGATGGGACATGAAGCCTCTGCTGTGTGCCCCTCCCTGCTGTCCCAAGTGCGGGGTGTGGCTGCCGGGGCTCCTGTCGCGCTCGGCCTGGAGTCTGGCGTCGCGGGGTGTGGAGCCCCTCGGGGGCCGAGGTGGGCAGGGGTCCTCGTCGGTCTGGGCGCCCGTGAAGGCTCCGCCGGGCCAGGCCAGCCCCTCGCGCCCTGTGTCTCGCAGGGCCGACAGGCAGCCCCGGAGGGCGGTTCAGCGGAGAGCAGGCTGACTGCAGGCATGGGTCGGCGGGGTGGGGATCGGGCAGCAGGCCTGGGCACCTGCAGCCGTGCTGGCCCTCGGGCGGCCCGGCCCGCACCCCCGCGAGCACGAGTGTGAGAGGGCTCCGAGTCCAGGGCCTGCCCCGTGCGGCCCCACTCTAACCCGCAGTCTCCTCTGCCCTCAGGTCACGCCGCCCCCGCCGCCCCGCAGGCCAGCTCCCCGCCGGACTACACGATGGCCTGGGCAGAGTACTACAGGCAGCAGGTCGCTTTCTACGGGCAGACGTTGGGGCAAGCTCAGGCCCACAGCCAGGTCCGTGCCGTCACCGAGGGCTCACGCTGACCCCAGGGCAGCTCGTTACTTAGGAGAAATCGCTGGGCCCCCGGCTCAGCTGGCTCCCTCTGCTCAGAGCACAGCCACAGCCGTCCTGTCCCCCGCTTCACCCCAGAGGAGTAGGCAGCGGCACCAGCTGGGAGAGGCGTTGGCTGGGCACCCCCTCCAGGAAGCGCCTGATCCCCCTCGGGCTCGGGCCAGCCCCAGCGGTGGCGCTCATGCCACTGGGTGGCCCTCGGGGCCTCTGGGCCCAGAACTGGAGGCCCTGCCCCACTGCTGCTCCTAAGAGGGTGGAGCGGCCAGCCCCTGGCCCTTGGCGTGCGCTGGGCAGGGGACGGCGGCTGTGCCGTCCAGGGTGGGGCAGGCAGGGGCCTGAGAGCTGCAGGGAAGAGCCCGCTGGTTCCCAGGGGCATCTTTCTGGTGACCCGATGCCAGCCCGGTCCTCACGGACGGCGTGGCGGTGACCGTAGACCCCGGGCCCCGTGGAAACAGGTGGCAGGGCTGGTGAGTGCTGAGGGAGAACTGTCCAGAGCTCACTCGGCCCTGGAGTCCCAGGGCCTCTGTTGAAGAGAGGCTTTGTCCGGGCCAGACGGAGGGAGGTGCCCGCGAGACACTGCCGGCCTCTGCTGGGCTGGCGGGCCCTCGCCGGCCGGCAGCGCTCCGCAGCCCCAGCCTGACCCCCTCTTCCTCCCACAGGAGCAGTAGGGCAGCACCCGCGCCCCTCCCTGGAATCATTGTGAGCGGAAAGCCTGTTTGGAACAGAGGTTTTTAGATTTGCAAACCTTTTGATGATGAACCTTTGTTTTGTTCTGTGAAACACTATATTTAGATTAACAGACTTTTTCTAAAAATCGGGAAAATTAGCTACTAAAATTGCTGATCATTTTTGTTTCATTATTATTGTTTGTTGTTTCAAACGTGTGGGCTCTGGGACTCTTTCTGGAGCAATCCCTGCAAATTCAGGCCTGGGACGTGCCTCAGAGCAGTGACATTTCAGCGCGGCGTGGTTCTGTTAGGTTTGCGTGACGTTATTTACAGTTTTTTCTGTTGCAACACAAAGTGGCTTGGAAGTCTTAGGTGGTATGTAACAAATTCTTTTTAAAATTTTTTAAACAGTATTTAAATATTCTTAAATGTAAATTCCTTAAATGTTTGCTTCTAATTTCTTGTATCTTGGCTGTCTGGTTTTATTGCATTTTTTAAAAACTGAACTATTATGTGTTGTAATTAATGATGTGAATTCTGACTTGAGACAGCTGATCGCGTTGCTGTCCAGGGGTGGTAGACGTTTTACAGGGTTTGTGCGGCCGCAGGGCGCGGGTGGAGCTCGGCGGGGTCGTGTCGTTGTGTCCATGTGCTGAGCGTCCTGTCTTCAAATGTGTATCTGACACCTCCAAGCTTGTTTTAAAAACAAAACAAAACCTTTCTCTATTCTCTCAGAAATATAAATACTGTTATTTTTAATATTAAAAAGAAATTCGATATAACTTTTAACAAACACTGTGGAACATTAAACCATATAAAAATGTAGTAACTATTTTTTAATTCCAGGTGTTTTTGCTTTTTGCTTTTAAATATTTTCTTAATATTGTCAAATTAACTAGGTAAATAAATAAATCTAGTATTAACCACAGTATGAATTAAATAATTTTGATTTAATAAAAGGGATAATATGATTTCCAATGTTTACTGTAGTGCATCTTGTACAGATAACATGTATTTTTAAAGGAAAAGGAAACGGAATTGAAGCTATTTTTCCTTGCTTTTTTAATTGACCTGAGGGACATTCCGTTTAAAGTGTGCTAAAGTTACAACTTCCTTACGATGCTTGAAATGTCTAACTATTAAAAAAAGGCAATTGGAGAATGTTATGCATGTTTTAAAAAAAAAAGTGTTCTTTTTATTTGACTGACAATTCATTTTACACTCTATATAATAAAATTCCCACAAGACACCTGTGGGCCAAGTATCTCGAGTGCGTGTGTTGGTCCCGGCCCTGACCCCTGCCGCCCCCGGGAGCAGCTCCTGCACGGCCAGCCTGCAGTTGGGGGCCAGCGGGGCTCGCCCCAGGTGGGTTGCGCCGAGTGGCCGGCACCTCCTGAGCTGGGTGTGACAGGGAAGCCCCCTCGCCTCA